CTGCCTAGAATCCCCCAGTGAGGGGCTGGGGGCGTGGCTCAGTGGTAAAGGACTTATTTAGGGTGCAGGGGGCCCTGGGTTTAATCCCCTGGATGGACACAAATAGCCATGCAAGAAGAAGGAAAGTGCTGGAAGGCTCATAAGAAAGGGCATGGTCGGCAGGGCAGTGGTAGCACACGCCTTTAATCCCAGCACTTGGGAGGCAGAGGCAGGCCGATTTCTGAGTTCGAGGCCAGCTTGGTCTACAGAGTGAGTTCCAGGACAGCCAGGGCTACACAGAGAAACCCTGTCTCGAAAAACCACCAAAAAAAAAAAAAAAAAAAGGGGGGGGGGGGCGTGGTCTACTTCGAAGATATTCAAAGAGGCCTGACCACAGGGCTTCCCTTTTCCCAGAAGAGAGGGGGAGGCTGACTCAACAGGTCAAGACCAAAGAGACTGGACTAAGACTCTCTGTGTTGAAGTATCACCAAGAGAGATACAGTCACTGTCCCAAAGACACAGAGGGGTCCTGAGGACGGGAGATCCGAAGCTGAGGACAGAAAAAGAGCCCTCCTTTTTCTGCAGGGGGATAAAATCTGTGACCTCGAGCTTGGGAAACAGTGTTAATTCCTAACTACCGAGCCAACAGCTGGAGCCACACAAGGTCTAACTCTGTGATATCAAGGTCACAGGTTCCAGCTAGATCCTGGGAAAATGGAATTCATTTGAGGCCAGGGTGTGATGTCATAGGTGTGGTGGCTGACAGATGGCCTGCTGGATCAAGAGCATGAGCCAGGGGCTGGAGAGATGGCTCAGTGGTTAAGACCACGTACTGCTCTTGCAGAGCACCTGAGTTCTCTTCCCAGCACACACTTCAGGTAGCTCACAATTGCCTCCTGTAACTCCAGTCCCACTGGCCTCTGAAGTCTCTCTCTCTCTCTCTCTCTCTCTCTCTCTCTCTCTCTCTCACACACACACACACACACACACACTTTGAAATAATTAAAAATATTAAAAAAAAAAAAAAGCCTTGAGCCTTGGTCAGTTGCAAAATGGAAGGTCAGGTAGCTGTCCCAACTCTACAGTGCCAGAAGCAAGTAGAAGCCAGCTGTGGTAGTTAGTGCACACCTTTAATAACCTCAGGACTAACTTTGAGTTCAAGGCCAACCTGGTCTACATAGTGAGTCTCAGGACAACTAGGATTACGTAGAGATACCCTCTCTCAAATATGATAAAATAAGATAAAATAAATAAAATAAAGCAAGCAGAAAGACAGGGTGGTCAGGGGCTTACCTGTGCCACACGAATGAATTTGTCCAGTACCTGGGCACGTTGCGCCGGCCCAGGACGACTCAGCACCATGACCTGCACCCAGCGGGATACACTGTTGCTCAGACCCACAGAACCTTCCAGACCAGGACAACCTCTCACTGAGCCCTGCAAAACATAGCCCCGCAGGTCTTGGGGCTGAGGCCAAGGTTGGTCAGGGTGTGTCATGTTGCTCACATGCCATCTTTCTGGTAGACCCAACCTCTTATGTCACAGCATGGTCTAGCCCAAGTCTCCCCAGGCTGCTGGAGGTCCCTGATATCACTGTGTCCTTCTCCAGTCTTGTGTTCATTATTATGTGCCTGACTGTGGCAGGTCAGGAAAGGGAATTGACTTGACAGAAAGTGGATTTGAAAGTGGTTCTACTTGTTCTCCTCATAGTGTATATACTCCACACCCAAATCTACTACACCACACAAGTACACATGTATACACACACACACACACAGGCACACACACATACATGCACACACACATACATGCACATGCATGCACACATACATGCATGCACATATACATACACACATGCACACATACCATATACATGTGCACACACATATATATATATACATGCATGCATACATATGTACACATAGACACACGTGCACATACATACAGATGTACATGTGCACACATACATGCACAGTGCATGTACATACACACATATACACTCATGCACACACATGTGCACACATACACACATATACACACGTGAATGCACACACATGCACACACACATACACATATACACATAGACATACACATTCACACACTCCAGCCCTATCTAGAAATCTGTCTCCTAAAGGAACCAGGTCCCCACCTTCCTTAAAAACAATGTCTAGATGGATGATAGCAGCTGACATAGTTCAATATAAAAGCACATTTAGGGAAGTGAACTACAGTCATTTCAAAGGTTTTACCCAGCTGGTGTTTACTGTCAACCATGCACTGGTCTCAGGTAGGAACTGTTAATATTCTGTTTTAATGTTTGTCTTTCCACGTGAGGGAACTGAGGCATGGTGAACTGAAATACTTGGTGACTAAACGTATAACTGATAAAATATTTTGAACATAATTCTGTGATTGATTCTACCACAATAAGTATTTGTGTGACAGGGTCTCCTGTAGTCCAACCTGGCCTTGAACTCCCCATCCTCCTGCAGAGGCTTCCAAAAGGCTGGATTATAGGCCTGTGCCACCTCGACATACTGCAATAAGCACTTTTTGTGGTTGTTGTTTTTTTTTTTTTTTTCTTTTGAGATAAGGTTTCTCTGTGTAGCCCCGGCTGTTCTCACTCTGTAAACCAGGCTGGCCTTGAACTCAGAGAATCACTTGCCTCTGCCTCTCAAGTGCTGGGATTAAAAGTGCACACCGCCACAGCCCGGCTGAAATAAACACTTTTAAATGGGCTTTTCATTCTGTCAAGCACTCTATGAAGAGGCAAGGTCTTATTTTTATGAATGAATACCCGAGAGGTTGGGAAACTACCTCAAACTAGGTAGAAAGGAGCTGAGGAGGACTGGGGCACAGCTCCTGGGTACAGTGCTTGCCTAGCCTGCCTGAAGCCCAGGGTTTGATCTGCTGCACTGCACAAACCAGATGTGTTGCTGGACATCTGTAATGCTAGCACCCGAGAGGTGGAGTGAGTTCAAAGTCATCCTTGGCTATACAGGTGGAAAACACGAGACTCCTGTCTCCAAACAATGGGGCAGACAGGAAGTGAGGAAGGAGTGGGGGAGAAATGGCTGCTGAGGTGGCTCTGTGGGAAAAGGGCCTGCGTTGGATTCCTGGGACCTGCGTGGTAGACAGAGAAGCTAGATTCCTACACGTTATCTTCTACCATGTCTCACAAACACAGTAAATGAATATGCATAATAAAAATGTTTAGAAGGAAGAAAATAAAATTAGTAATAGAAATAAAATTATAAATAAAACATAAGATAATATAATAAATAATAAATTAATAAAGAAAATTAGTAATCAAATAAAAGCAAGAAAAATAAACAAAAATTTGAACTCAGGCTTGGCTCTCAGTCAGCCTAACTCATTGTCTCAGACTGTCCTGCCATCAGGTTTGACTGCTTAAGAGTGTTCAGTCTGCAACCGGGAGTGATGGCACACAACTTTAATCCCAGCACTCAGGAGGCAGGGGCAGGTAGATCTCATGAGTTCGAGGCCAGCCTGGTCTACAGAATGAGTTCTAGGCCAGCCAGGGCTACACAGAGAAACCCTGTCTCAAGAGTTTACAATCTCATCTGGGGATGTGGGTCAGTGTTAGAGAGTTTGCCTAACACAGAAAAAGACCCTGGGTTCAGTTACCAGAGCTGTTAACATGGTAACTGTATGGGCACTACTAATAAAGATAGTAAAATTATAGTTCCATATGTAATCCTGTGCCAGGAGCATGCCCCGCCCCCATTCTGTCTCCTGCTTAGGGCTGGACGGGGAAAGATGTTCTCACTGTGATGGCCTGGAAGGACCGGAACTCCAGGTAAGTAAGGTGTTGTGCCAGCTCCTCTGTCTCCAGGTGATCAAACAGCAAGGACACTTTCCGTTTCTTGCCCAGGCCTGGGCTACTCATGGGAGGTGGGGGACCGGGCCCTCCAGGACTCAGCCTGGAGGCCAAGAAGGACAGGTTATTGGCTCGAGAGTTGAGGGTTTGGGGGACACAGAGGGTACAGGTAGGATAGGGTGGGGCAGGGAAGGAGGGTAAGGTTGGCTCACAGGTTGGCGGCATCTCCTAGGCTCCTCTGGGCCATGTTGCCCTCCTGAGCGACAGTGGCCCAAAACTGGCTTATGACTGTTTCCAGCTGGGGCTCCTGGTGCACTGCCTCAGGGTGATGGGTCAGCCAGTATCTGCGAGGGGTTCGGAGATGGGAGGTAAACTTGGACTGGCAGTAGGGTGAAGAGGTTAAGGGGGCTTTAGGCCAAGGCATTCTAAACATGGAACAATGGGCATGCACATGTGTGCTGGGGTTTCTGGAGTCAGGATTTAGAGGGATGGTTCAAAGGATGGGGAGATCTCGAGTAAGAATGGAAAAGCTGGTAAAACAGTGTAAGTATCTCTTGAGACAACGGGGAAGCATGACGGTAGAGGTGTCAGGAACGAGGTGGGGGGAAGATTTGGGAAGTCAAGGTGATGCAGTTCTGGGGGCATGTAGGAACTGAGGTCTCACCTAGGAGAGTCTATGGGATCTAGCCAGGAATCTGCAGGAATTGTGTGTTCTGAGGAATGGTGGGGTAGGGGGTGGAAGTGTCTCAGGGACTGTTAGGAATGGGTTTTTTTTGTTTTGGTTTGGTTTGGTTTGGTTTGTTTTTTTCGAGACAGGGTTTCTCTGTATAGCCCTGGCTGTCCTGGAACTCACTCTGTAGACCAGGCTAGCCTCGAACTCAGAAATCCGTCTGCCTCTGCCTCCCAAGTGCTAGGATTAAAGGCGTGTACCACCACTGGCCAGCTGGGAATGTTTTTTTTTTTTTTTTAACTTTCTTTAAAATTTTATTTTCATTTTGTATGTATGCATGCTTTGCCTACATGCATGTATATGTACCATGTGTACATGCCGGGTGCACCTGGTGGCCAGACGTCAGGTGCTGGATCCCTTAGAACTGGAGTTACAGTCATCGGCCAATATACGGGTGCTAGGAACTGAATTCAGGTCCTCTGAAAGAGCAGCCCTTCCAGGCCATCTGTCCAGTCTCAACCAATGGCGTTTTAGCATGGGATTTTTGGTACCTTTTTGTGTTTGTTTGTTTTTGTTTTTGAATTGAAGCCTACTCTATAGCCCAGGCTAGCTTTGAACTTGAAGAGATCCTTCTGCCTCAGGCTATCTCATGCCAGGATAACAGGCACAAGTTCTTTGTGTGGGATTTTTGAAAATGAGGCTGAGTGTGTGTGTGTGTGGGGGGGGTTGGAGTAGCGATCAGGCCAGGGTGGGGGGGTCTAAGAGAGGTGTTTCATGGTACTAAGGGCCTTGGACCAAACCTACCTGACCAGGTAACAGATCTGTAGCTGTCTTAGCTCCTGGGCATCTTTGGCAGCCTTCTGATACTTGAAAGTTCTGGTCAAGGCTGTTTCCAGCATTCCCCATTTGTCCACTCCCCCGCCCCGTTCCCATCTCCCAGGAGTTCACAGGTCTGCCTTTATCTCTCTAGATAGAGGTCACGGTTCTGGGAGGATATGACGTCAGCAGCCGGGCAGCAAGCTCTGAGGATGGCAGCACCCAGCTGTGCATGGTAAGCACCATCTTGAGAATGTGGTCCCCTCGGCGTAGACTGCCAGCTGAATCTGGAGGAGGAAGGAGAGGCTGTTGGCCTGGGCCCAGAACAACAGACCCCTGGCGTCATGAACTGAGAGGGCAGGCTGGTGTACATGTTCGTTCCACCTGTAATCCCCTGCAGGAACTTGGGTAAGCAATGTGATTTCTTCATGCTTCGGTTTCCTTAGCTGGGAGGTGCATGGACCAGCAAGAATTTGGCTCCTTGCTTTCAATCAAGGTTGAGATGTTTAAAGTTCCTTGAACTTTTTTTTGTTTGGTTTTTCGAGACAGGGTTTCTCTGTATAGCCCGGGCTGTCCTGGAACTCACTCTGTAGACCAGGCTGGCCTCGAACTCAGAAATCCGCCTGCCTCTGCCTCCCAAGTGCTGGGATTAAAGGCGTGCACCACCACCGCCCGGCCTTAATTTATTTCTTAAGGCATGAATTACTATGTAGTTTTGCCAGCTTGAAACTCGCTATTTAGACCAGGCTGGTCTCAAATTCAGAGAAATGCCTGCCTCTTTCGCCTCCCGAGGGCTGGGATTTAAGGCCTGCATCACATCACCCAGGTAGGTCTGGAACTTTATCCTCCTGCCTCAGCCTTCAAAAGTAAGCTACCAGACCCAAGCTCTCTCTCATCATTAACACAAGGACGACAATTCATCTTATTCGGCCGTGTTCACCCCAACCATCGAGGCTGAGAGAGGATGCTTAGCGGGGCGTTAGGGTTGGAGAGGCTGGCCCAGCGACTCACCAAAGCTCCGGATGCATTCCTCCAGTAGCTCATCTTCGCTGCAGCTGCTCTCGCTCAGCACTCCCAGATTCATGGAAGCCATGACCTTGCTGATTTCCCGGGGGGTGGGGCACGTCTTGTGGCGGCGGGCCGGTCGTGGCCGACCACGCCCTCCTGCCTTCCCAGAGCATTCCTGATGAGACTTCCTGTAGGTACACACAAAAAGCCCACCGCGAAGCATCATGGGAGCCCCTTTCTCTAAGTACGCTCCCACAATTCTTCTGGGGCCCAATTCCCCTAGGCCCCATGGACCAAAGTTCTTGCAGATCAAATCTCAGAGATACCCATGAGGGACTCATGGGTGACAAGCCCCAAAATATTTTAGATCTTCTGGAAGATCCAGGACTAAGGGCTACCGACGTTCCTTGTTTTGGTTTTAATTATTGTCTATACAGTTAGTGTATAGAATAATGGGTTTCCCTATGACACTTTCACACATAACACACGTCATCGTACTGGTACCTCGCTCCTAGGCTCCATATATAAAGGAAAACACATCGTGTTTTGCCTCGCCTCCTTATCCTCCGTTATTACCACAAAAAAATTCCTCTTGACGACACAGTCCGAAAGCATCACAAGTGTGCAGTAAGCAGACCCCCCAGGATTTATCCGAGGACCTACTCCTAGGACCCTAGGACCAAGCCCTGGCTTCCCACGGTGTCTCGTGAGTTAGTCTCCAGGTTCCTTCCAAAGCCCGGATGTCACTCCTCCGCCCCAACTCTGTAGAAGTTATACTTTTGTGTCCCGGTGATGGAGATGACCTGTGGTCAGGTCTCTTGAAATCTACCGGACCACCCCATCCCCTGCAAGGCAGCAGACCCCTCATCCATGATAGCTTTCCCATACTCAAGACTCTTAGCCTCTAGCCTGCTCCCCACATTTTGGAGCCAGGAGAGGAAGTACACCAGAGCTTCTCCGGGGCTCCTAAGGGCTAGGCAGGGTCCCTGGGGCCACAGCAGCTTCAAGGAAAGTTTAAAAATAACCTTTCCTGTCATATGCCTCCCTAGGTGTCTGTCCCAGGTGGGGAAAAAGGGGGTGGTGGGAGAAAGGGAGGGCCAGAGGGAGGGGTTAGCATCTAGTCTTCAGAGTCATCCAGAACTGGATTCCAGAAGTTTCTGATGGCCGTGTGCCTTTTTAATAAGTAACCCACTGTCTTTCTGACCCTTGTTTTCTGCATAGGAAAAAGTAGATTTTCCCCAGATGTTAGAAAGCCTGGATCCTCAAAGGGACCTGGCTGATGGGCAAGCTGACCTCCAGACAGGGAAAGAAGGCTACATGTTGTGATGCTTTCTTGTAAGCCCTGCTGCCTGGGAAACTGAGGCAGGTGGATTGCGAGTCTGAGGCCAGCTTGGGCTACATAGCAAAACTCTCAAAACAAAAACAAAAACACCCCCTCAAAACAACAACAACACACACACAGCCAAGACAGAAGGAGGTAGCCAGGTTTTCCGCACCACATGGATGTGAAATCACAAATAGTGACATCCTAAAATAAAATCTGCCAAGTCCCCTCCAGCATCATCAGGGCTAAGACAGCTGTTAAATGTTAAATAAAGTGGACACTTGCTGAGCATCTGGGGGCTGAGCGCTCTGTAAAAATCAGTGGTTTTTGTTTGTTTGCTTTTGTTTTTGTTTTAGGTGCCCACACCAAGAACCAAAAGCATCACCTTCCCGGCCATTTCACCTAAGCACAGCTTCTCAGGCCAGTCCCCAGTCTCACAGAATCTAAAATTTTCTGGGTGAGTCCAGCAGCTTGTACTTTCTAAGCCCTCTCCGTGACCGTGCAGTAGTCTAAGCGGAATAAGCTTTTAACGCCCCTCTGAAGTGGTATCTACAATAACTCTGACAGAAGCAGAACCTGACAGAGTACTTGAGTAACTTACCTAAGGCCACACAAGCAGAGGACGAGGCAGCTGGGATTCTCTCACTATACTGAATCCCTTTGCTCATCAGGGTCATGCTAGGGAGGTGGGGGCGAGCTATCCAGGTTGGGAACCCAGCACCATCCCTCCTTATGGGGACAGGCAGACAAGCAGTGCCAAGAGACAGAAGCCCATTTCAGACCCTGCTGCCCCTTACCTGCAGACCGGCAGCTCCCGTAGTGTCTGGAGCAGCCAGGTGTGGTTTAAGAGTCAGGGAAGCTGTCTAGACCTGCGTCATGAAACTCTCTCCTGGGACACGGTCCTGCAGGAGCTTGGAGTTTCCAGTCCGGGGTGGGGGTGGGGGGCAGTGACCATAATAGGGAACAGAGAAGACCCCGGGGAAGACAGGGGCAGCCAGTTGAGGGAGCTAGGTTGGAGAGACACAGGACAGCTCAAACTCCAGGGAGAGGCAGCAGCAGTAACGGAGGCTCAGGTGCTCAGCTCCCTGAAGCATCTCACCCTTGGACCCCACTAGAGCCCGGTCTTGGAGGCGTGGGGCACTTCCCACCCCTATGATCTCCCCCAACTCCCCAGAGCCAGCGGCACCAGGACTTCGGCTCTCCCAGGTCTCCTTGGGGAGGGTCCTCTTACCTTTTGATATCTTTCCGGTTCATGTTTCTTGGAGGGGGTGGGGAGGGGGGGGCGTCCTGACAGGAGTATGATCTGGTTCCTTCCCTAACCAGATTGTCAGGCCCCTGGGAGCTGGAGCGTCCACAGTGTTTAGGAAGGAAAGAGGAACTGCCCCTCCCCACCCACCCCCAGGCCAGGGGGAAGGAAGAGGCTGGGGAGAGACCAAAGGCTCCCCTCCCCCTCACGGGGATCCCTGCCTGCTGAGGTTTCCGGTGCTGCCTACCCCCTTAGCTGGCTCTCTATCTATCGCTCCATCTTTCTTTCTCCCCCCCGCCCCCCCGTCTTTGTCACACACACACACACACACACACACACACACACACACGCAGAGTTTTAAAAAGTGTATAAAAACAGGCTCAAAAGAAAAGTCTGCAT